TAATTTTTGGAGGGGCACAGTAAGAGAACCCAGTCCTGATAGCTGGTTTGCATGTTTTGCTTGTTTGTTTTTTGGGAAGGCTGGTGTAGTGGGAAAATCTCTGGATTTGGGGTAAGGGCCGGCGGGGGAGAGGGGAGATATAGGAGGACTGCTGCATTTTTTTTTCCCTATCTTGATACAGTGGGGGGAATGTTATGTCTGTCTATAACAACACAAAACATGATTATTGGGCAGGATTATGCAATTAACATAAGTTATTGTTGCACAAGAATGTCATTTTACAGGTATCTTTCTTTAAAAAAAAAAAAAAAAAAACTTCAGATGTTGGAGATGTAATTGTAAATGTCAAACTCAGCTCCCCTTTTTAGCAGACCTGTGCCTAATTTTCCATTTGCGCTTGTCTAATCAAAGCGTCTCATGTTTCGCTTGCACGGGGATTTCTCTGCTTTATCAGTTCTACAAGTATCCTGGTTTCCCTCCTTGTATAGGTGTCTTGCCTGCTGTTGTTGAGCTCAGGGCTCGAAAATGCATTAGATCTTTGTAACAAGTGTGATATATCTGTGTGATTCTTCTTGATTTGGACTCAGTAATTTTTTTGGTCTGAAGCACATGCTTCAAAGACAGCTGGTGTCAGTGTACAGAAAAGAAGGGGAAAAGGTCAAGCTCCTGAGTCTCTTCTAGGTGAGACTTGCAGACTTGGAAGCATTTCTGTAATTATCTCTGGATTGCACTTGCTGTCTCCTTATAAAATAGGGAAAAGGGCCAGGGGCAGTATTGTTCTGCCAGTAGTAGTGCTGTACTGTCCTGCCCAATGGCTTTCTCAAAGTGATGTCATTGCTTTAAACAGTTTAAAATGAGCCCTGAACTATGAGCATATTATGGGAGGTAGCCAACTTAGCACTTCTGTCCTAGTACCTTGTTGCTAGTTCATTGATCCACTAAGTTTCCCAAAACTTAGGCTGAGTTTTCTTACACTGCATATAGTCTTGCACTTGATCTACAAGCCATGCTTTCACCTGGAAGGTGTTGGTATGATCAGCAGTACAAAATATTTCTGGTATTGCAGGTGAAGATTCATGCTGGCCCAAAGTTTGCCTCTTATTTGACATTCAGCCCCTCAGAAGTGAAATCTCTCCGCACCGAATATGGGGACCTGGAGTGCTGCATTGAGGTGGTGGACAGTGTCCAAGAGGCTGTTGAACATATCCACAAATACGGAAGTTCTCACACTGATGTTATCATCACAGAGAATGGTTAGTGACCAGTCTGCTTCCTGAAGTTACCGCTCTTATATTGCAGTAGTGGCGCTGGTTCTGCAGAGGGCATGATTAACTGGAGGCCTGCAAGCTAAATCTGCCTACAGGACAGTGTAGTGCAGAGAAGACATGTTGTGTAGCCCTCGTCCCAACACAGGGAGGTGTGTGTTGACTGACTTGCGGATGACATATCAGCACATGCTCTTGCAAAGCAAATTGCTTTTATGTTACTTTATTGTGCAGTCTTATTGTATCAGAGGGTTTCGCAGGAATGTCTCCTGATGCCTGGAGATGCCCTTAGGCAACTGGAAGTGGAAGAGGTGAGCTTCTCTCGTCCCTCATTGGAGGGACTAGGGAGTATGGCGGGGAGAGGATCAGGCTATTGTCCACTATATTGTCTTCCAACGTCTTTTGTATCTTGCAAACAAGGATCGCAACCCTTTTTTGCTACCTTTCCTTTATTCCCCCTTTCTGCATCCCTAGTATGGAAGCTGCATTTATCTCCAACTTTCCCAGTGTCCTACCCCTTTGAAGTTGTGAAGTTGGGCTCCTGCCTGCAGCTCTGAGCTGCTCCCATCCGTAGCACCTGTCCTGCATGCAGTTTGCACGCTGTGCCCGTTCAGAACTCAGTTGTCGCTGCACGCAGCCGAAGGGTGACTCGGTGTCCCAGCCTGGAATTCCTGAGAAGCAGCCGCAGTCAGGTCATGCTGGTCTGTGGCTGATCAACGTGAGACTTCAGCAAAAGTCTGTACCTCCTGCAGAAGTTAAACCAGTGGCGCTAAAAGGCATACGTTTGATACCATAACCCACTTTCACTGGACCTGGTGCACTAGTGGTTTACAAGGCGGTGTACTGCAAATTAAGCTGATCTTTAATGTTGGTTTTGTTGCTAAGGGTGACTGACCTGTAGCTCACAACCTTACAGAAGGCCTCTTGTGAAGTACTGAGACTTGCACAGCTCTGCATGAGCTTGCCCAGGTGTTGCCTGTTTAGTGTTAAGTTGGGTTAGTAAGCTGGTTTTATGTGGTATTTCTGCATTGTATTTCTCAAATGTTATCCATAATACCGATGATTATTAGTTAGGATTTTTCATTATCTGAAACAACTACACGTTCCAGATGATGGAGAGCTGATTTTGTAACTTAACTGTATTAGTTTGACTGCAAAATGCAGTGTGGAACTGCTTTCTCTTCTCCCCAGTTACATAAAAATCCTTGTTTGCAAGGTCTAGACTGTAGTTTGGATTAGCCATTTTATGCCTGTCTTACAATTTTTGCACGTTTCCTGTAACGTTTGCAGCTGAATCTACTTGATAAGCATACTGGGAAGAAGGCACATATGAACATGTTTTGGCCCAGGCTGTCTTAATGTTACATGTAAAACTTCTAATGTTACCTCTCGTCACTGTATTATGTTGTGTTCACTGAAGTACATGCTCAGTCTGTGTGTATGTTTTTTTTTTCCCCCATCTCCTCTGGCCCCACAGAAAAAACAGCAGAGTTCTTCCTGCAGCATGTGGACAGCGCTTGCGTGTTCTGGAATGCCAGCACCCGGTTCTCTGACGGTTATAGGTTTGGACTTGGTAAGGGCGCGATTGTAGGGTTTACTGTTCTGTGCAAAGTATGGCAAATCTCCTTCTGAATCCTGGAAGACAGGGTTAGTTAACTTTGATCTCACTATCTAAAATAAGGCTTTCAGAGAAGGTACTGTAGGAAAATGGAAACCTAGACCTTTCATCCAAGCAGAATAGCAGATAGCTGAATATCTTTTTCCTGCTGGAATTAGCTAATACTGCTCTACAGGCTATCTAGGTTAATTTAGTGTCAGGGAACAAGGATGTTTTGGGCTCCTCTGAACCTCTGTTCCATCAAAATAAAGTATGGTGCATGCACGTAGTGCTAGAACAATGCAACATAGGATCTGAATTTTGTGCTGTGTTTTGTCCATCTTTCTACTGATGCTCTAAAGAATGCCGTGCTTTGT